CCCTGGTCGGGAAACTAAGATCCCACATGCCACTTGGTGTGGCCTAAAAAAAAAACTAAGAGAATGTTCAAGGCAACATTACTTATACTATAAAATACAATATAAAATTAGTGCATATTCTTGTTATGACGACTATGCAGCATTAACAAAAATGAAGTAGATGTGTGTATATACATATATATGTGTGTATATATGTATATATACTGAAATGGAATGGCTACCTGTAAGGTATGATTGAGTTACAAAAAGCAAGCTGCAGTACAGTATAAACAGTGTGACCGTATGTTTTAAAAATAACCTAGGTATATATATGTACCTAGAAAAAGTCTAAACATATACAAATCTAACTTTTAACATTGATTTCCACTGGAGAGGGTGAGTAGAATGTAAGGAAGTGACTTCACTTTTTGCTTTACATACTTTTATGTTACTTGAATATTTTATAATGATCAGGGATTACTTTTGTAATTTTAAAAACACAACTAGAAATCAAAAAAGAAAAGTTAAACCAATATTTAAGCTAGGGAAAATAAAATAAAATATAATTAAAGAGCTCTAGCCAAGGGTAAGAGTAAGGCCAAGGAACAGAAGCAGGGGCACAGAGCCCAGAGAATGACATGCCTGGGGTCTCCCCAGTAGCTGTTCCCACATACACCTGACCACTGATGTTTCAGGACCACGCCTGCCCTCCTGGACTTGTGCTCTGCTGGCAGAGTCGGTCTGTGTCTGCATAGTTGCCGCTCCTACTGCAGTGCTGCCAGCAGTTTTCCTATTTCTGAAGTTGAAGGTTGCAGCAAATGCCTTCGAAATTAAGAGTCGTGCCCATGGGGCAAAGCACTGGGGCTTCTAAGAGAGACTGTTCTGTTCCTGAGAATTTAACTGGACTATCCCTGCTCCTTGACTTCTGCACTTTGTTTTTGTATTAACTCCTTGTGGCTTTGACCTTGGATTTGACCACAGATTCTGATTCTGCCTCTGCTCCAATCTTGTGTCTTCTCTTATGGTAACCTACTGTCCAATTCTGGCCAATTCCATGACTTGGGTTTTCTTCAGGGGCTGGATTTGGGCAATTTCTTCACGCTTGCTTCCAGCACCTAATCCTCTTCTAACCCTACTTTTAACTCTGTCATCCTGTCTCAACACTGATGTCACCAGCAAAGAGGCCAGCATGGGCCCAAACAGAACTACAGACATGATAACTACAAGACATGATAACTCACGATAACTGTACATATGGGGCACTTGGGACACTTGCTGTCTGGGAAGAAGCTGTCCTTAACTTCACATGTGGTGCTTAATGAGATGATAGGAAATCAGTGGGAATGATCATGCTGGAGTCACAGTGCTGTTGTTTCTAACAGCCCCCAACACTTTGGGAGCAATGTGCCTAAGGTGGTGTGTGTTTTGTAAGTTATGACTGTATAGAGGGAGATGGAAGGCCAGCAGCTTGAGCCAGTCTATCCCTTTTAACTTGCCTGGACACTGTCTTCTCCAAATGATGATCCTTATTTATTTTTCATTTCATGACATAGAACATGTGGGAAGATTCCAAGAGTGAACTTAACTTTCTTTTGAACCATCCAGTGTGAGTCAGAATTGTGGCTCCACATAGCTAGGGACCTTTCCTCTTCTCAGACTTCTCAGCAAGCAGGCTGGGTGAGATCTGTGCATTGACAAGGGAGATGGTTAGAGAGATACGGCTTCTCCCAAGGCTGGAATTGAAACCCAACCTCAATTAAGTTAAGAAATCCTCAATTAAGACTGCCTGGCCCCCTTCACCCTGCCAGCTTTTAGGAGCTGAGACAGGATCTCCTTAGGACCCAGAACAGAAGCATTTTGTAATAAAATTCCTTATACATTTTCATTTCTCCATGGTTCTTAAAATAATCCTTTAGCATGAAGGGTGATTTTACCTTCTTTTTTTTTTTTAATGTTGGGGTAGGAGTTTATTAATTAATTAATTAATTTTTGCTGTGTTGGGTCTTCGTTTCTGTGCGAGGGCTTTCTCTAGTTGTGGCAAGCGGGGGCCACTCTTCATCACAGTGTGCTGGCCTCTCACTATCACGGCCTCTCTTGTTGCGGAGCACAGGCTC